CACAGACTCCCTTTAGCATGCATTCCTGAAAGATCTCCATTTTAAGCAGGGATCTCTGGCTCTTGTCATCCAGGAAATGAACTGTCAGAAAGCTCTAAGTGGCCACATACTAACACCTGGACTCCACTCCAAGTGCTTCAAAGAGAGAAGCTTCTGTAGCTCCCTCCTTTTCCTTCTCTGCGTCGGAGTGGCCATAAACTATCTTCCTCATCCTTTTAATTTACTGCCAAAGCCATGCTCTGTGGTTAAACATAATGTCAGACTCCAGGCAAAGTGGAATGTATATCAAAATGTTTGACTTCTCTGTGTGCTTAAATGCTACTAAAATGTTCGGTGAGCCAGCCGAGGCACGTATGACTGCCTCCCTTAATAGTAGCCATAGTGTGTGTGTTGGTATGTGTGTTACATAAATATGTTGCTTACTGCAGTTCCATTTCATAGTACTGTATGTAGGGCTCTCCTACTGTGAGCACTGAGCCTTATAAGGGAATGCTTGTAATGACCACTGCTTTTATTTACCAGTGACTCATTCATCAATTTATGTAATGAACCTTTCATATCTGCTTGTATCATCTATCATCCTTTCCATAGGGTTTTTAAAAACACAAGGAAAGGGATTTTTACAGTATCAGATTTCATGCATTGTCTTAGGGAATCTAAAATGTATGCATGTTCTTTGGATTTGTATGTTATGCTCAAGTGCTTGTTCTCCCCAAGGGTTGAAAAGATCGAATCTAGAAGACGCTCGACTGTGAACGAACAAGTAGCAGTCAAGATCTTTATCGTTCAATAAGGAATAAAGATGCGTCTTTGTATTTCCGGAAAATGCTTGTATGTCCACCACACTGGCCCATGTGAAGGGCTTGGTTAAGAGGCCCTTAGAAAAGAAAGGGGGCCTTTCAGTACTTTTCTCTCATTTCCTCCTTCTCCTTCTTCCCACTTGTGAAGTGTCACTTTGCTGTCAGACCTCAAGGCCCAATTGCCAGGGACTGGGCGTAGTCTGGGGATCAGTGGAAAAGAGAACAGGGTGAAGAGCAGATAGAAGACTGTGAAGTGCTTTAATGAAAAGAAAACACATTATTTCAGCAAGTACAAGTGGTGTGTTGATAATTAGTGTGATTTCCCAGAAGTAGCCGATTTGCTTTTATTTTTTTCTTCCTAATCCAGACAAGTTGATTCAGCCTCTACTTAGAGCTACTTAGTACTGCTCAGTGTACACTGTTGTCTGGGCTGGCGTTAGCTCCCTTGGGGCGACAACACTGGCTCCAGGGTCTTTGAGCCATAGAAACCAGACAGCTTTTGCTTTAAATGCTCATAAGAGTAAAGCCCTCCCTTCCCCAGTGGAAACAAAATGCCCTCTGATTTGTCTGTTTTCAAATAAACAAACCCTAATTTGAGATTCAAATGCTTTCAGCATCCAGACATGTGAGACAATGGAAAACCTTTTGTATCAAAGAGAAAATCAACTAACACACCAAATAGTTTTTTCTTTTGTCTGTGAGCAAACTAGTCATTTTGTTAGGGATGCTGTGACACAGACAGCTCAGTGGCAGCCTGTTATCATCAAATCAAACGTGACATGAGGGAGGCAGAAGCATCAGACAGAAATAACCCTTTTCCTGCCTGCCGTTGATCTCCGGTGGGATGAGGGCTCTTTAAAACACAGACCAAAGGGCCACTAGCCGGCCTCCGTTTGATGCTGTGATGTGACAAGAGCTGCTGCTTTGTGTCTCATCACTGTTTTTGGCGTGCCTCTCAACTTTGAAATATTCTCAATGATGCAGGGAGGCATGCTAGAAAAAAGAGCAGAGATATGTTAAAGTGTTTGAGTACAAGCTAACCAGGGAGTAGTTTTACTTCATTTTATTTGAAGTCAAGTGAGTTATTTACAGTTTTTTAAATTAATTCTTGCCATATTAGACAGTCTGTCAGGTCCTTGGTATGTAAGGAGGACAGGGAGATGTTTGCATGGCAATTCTGGCACACGTTCCACTTAAAAGCTCTCCAAAAGGCTTCTCTCACTCGAGGTTGAGGAGGATGGTGAAGTGCTCCACTCAGCCCTGGATAAGCACTCCCCTCTCTCCCTCTATGTGCCCCCCTCCCTACCCAGCCCCCATTCCCGCCCCTCTGCCCTGACCACTGCCCTACTCACCCCTCTGCTCAGGGACAATGGCTCACTTTCAAAGAAAAGCAGGAAAAAAGAGGAGCCCCATGTCACAGAATTGCCTGTTTGCTGATGGAATCCTTAAAAGCTGCACCTCATAAATCAAAAAGAGCATAATAGGCATTGTTTCTCCAAGAGCTACTTGTCCCACTAAAATGCCCCTCCTCTGCTCTCTTTTCTGTCCCGTTGTCCAACCATCTCCTTGTTTTATTCTCCTGCAACCCCCAATGCTTGATAAAGGGGAAAAGGATTCTCTAAGCTTGGATCAGCATAATCTGTCACTGTGCACATTGGAACTCAGGCCTCCTCCCTGTCTTCATGCTGCATTGTCACATTGAAATCGGATTAGATGGGAAGCTGTTTGCCTCTCCTCTGCGGCTCTGGACTCTTTATGCATGTTTGCACAAGGAATGACAGAAAAGTTGCAGGCAGTATCAGCACTGTGCATCGAAAGAATAACGAACAGTGTGCAGTTTAACTCAAGCGTGTTTGGTTTATATTCCTTGAATACATCCAAGAGGTGCTGTATAAACAGATTTAGGTTGTGGCAGAGAATTTTGAACGTGTGTGTGTGCTCATAATATTTTGCTTGCATTTATATCTGTACACATGCTTTGCTGATTGAAAGATCTGTCTTACACTTGCAGAAAACCACATGTTGTATCTGTTTTGATTTCAACAGGCTATTAATGAGTTTTTGGAAACAGCCTTGCTTTTCCTACGCCTACTTCTTTCACCCCAATGATGTGTCAGCAATCAAGAAAATATAATCATAATTAGATCACCGGCACTGCATTAAGATTACACAAATCTGCCAACTCCATTTCCATAAAGCGTTTTATTAGTTACGTGACGTTACCTTGGGCATTTTCTTTTCTATCAGCATTCCCTCTTCCTTGCACATAGATATGCACATTTGTGGAAAGCCAATGTTACATGAATTAGCCATGAGCTGCATAGACATGAACTAGATTCTGGTTTTTAAGAGTATAGCTGAGGTTCTAGGGAGAAATCATGTATTACAGACTTCTGTGTGTACGGAATGTGTCCCATGTTGTAGTTTTGATCTCTTTTTACTTTCTCATTGTGTAAATACTCTGCATAGGATTACACAGTATTTAAAAACAATAGACTGCAATATTACTGTGTACACAATGGTGTATCAGTACCAAAGCCTTAAGAATAAAGGCGAGGCCTTTACACAACAGGCTAACAGGAGTCTTACCTGTGAGAGTGTGTTCACCCTGATAGATTGGTGTCCCTGGTTATCTCTCTCTCTGCCTTTGTGTGTTCCTCCTTTTAGTGCTTATTGTGTTTTTCCTTCTTGAGGGTCTGGGACAGTCTTTTTCATCTAACTGTCGCTGTAACAAGTAGGATGACTAGTTCTAGCTGTTGTCTTCTCAGTTCACTTCCAAAGAGGCATAGAATGTAGGCTACTGCAACAATTTCTACCACTAGTGTGTCAGCATTGACAGATTAAAAATACTGTGTATCATCTAGTATCCTAACTAGCGAAAATGCATGGCATGTTGTTATGGTGCTTTAACTGTGGCCCAAATTTGAGAGTGAATAGCAGTGAGTGTTCTTGCTAATAAGGTAAACAAGAGACTTCTTCCTGTCCTCCTTACGTGATTGGTCAACACAGCGTCTTTGCTGGATGATGTCACCATCCAGTGCAGTAAAAGCTGAACTAGCTTCAACAGGGCTGTGTCATTTTGCCAGAGCCTTTTGTGGTGCTGGTCCTGGCTGCGGTGAACACAGTCCCCTCAAAAATGAATGGAGAAGGATGTGTTTTTTCACACAACTCAGTCTGATAGAGAAAAGCTTATAGAGGAAAAACCCAACAAATCCCCCTTGAACTACCACTTGGCCACAGTAGGGAGAAAAAACTCCCTTTAATGGTCTCCAGTCTGAACCTCTCCCATCTTACCAGCACCAGAATCACATCTGATCATGCAGGCTAGTTTTTTTCCTGGTGTGAGGAAGTGTGCTCCACACCCCAGTGTCAGTCAGACACTTCTTATTGCCCATGGTTGGCCACTAGGTCTGAAACATAATGCTGAGAGATCAGAGTGCATTCACTTTTCCTTCAAAAACATGTTGAGTCTGCATGTACTGCAACATATCTGTGTGAAGCCAAATTAGCCAGCCCTCACACAAAACCCAACACGTTCTTCTTAAAAAAACAGATTCCCTTCTGAAACAAGTCTTATCATCTTTCAGTGTGGTGTCTTTTTTGCATGTTGGATGGAAGGCAGGGCACTACTATATGGCACAGCTATGCGTGAGTCAGCAAGGCGGACTGAGTGGGGTTTTGTGCTCCAGTCGTATAAAGAGGGAGGTAGATTTTAAATATAACTAACCACTTTGGAACATTACTTCCAGAAGTGGGGTTTAAGAAAAGATGAGCTCAGGGAAGATAATGGAACTCACACATGCTAAAAAATGCATTGTAAGGCTGATCAAAATTATTCAGGGAAAATGATTAAGGGGTAACAGAGCAGGCTATCTGCAAATAGAACCTAGTTCTTAATCCCTAATATAGTTTAATTCAGGGCCAGTTTGTTTGGAATCTTCTGTAAATGTTTTCCTGTGTTTAACTATCCACATCTGTTTTCTGTCAGATGTGAGATATTATAGGAGTGAGTGAGCTTGTTGATGTTGGACAGCTGCTTGTATTAATAGGTTTTTGAATCCTATAAGGCTACATACAGTCATTGAGTCACTGATTACAGAACAGTGTACACTCCATCAGCTTGATTACATTATGCAAGACCTTGCATCATCCTACCCTTCTCCTAACCTGATTATTGTGTCCTTGTTCTTTTTTCTTCAGGGAGCTGATGCCCAAGACCCTGGAGGGCCAGATCACCATGGAGAAAACCCCCAGCTACTTTGTGACGAGAGAGGCTCCCGCCAGGATCTCGGCCATGTCCCGGGACACCAAGCTGATCGTGGTAGTGAGGGACCCCGTCACCAGAGCTATCTCAGACTACACACAGACACTGTCTAAGAAGCCTGACATTCCCTCTTTCGAGAGCCTCACCTTCAAAAACAGGACTACGGGGCTCATTGACACCTCATGGAGCGCCATCCAGATTGGCATCTACGCCAAGCACCTGGACAACTGGCTGCAGTACTTCCAGATGGACCAGATCCTGTTTGTGAGCGGTGAGCGTCTGATCAGCGACCCGGCCGGAGAGCTGGGCCGTGTGCAGGACTTCCTGGGGCTCAAGAGGATCATCACAGACAAACACTTTTACTTCAACCAGACCAAGGGATTCCCATGCCTCAAGAAGGCAGAGGGCAGCAGCAAGCCCCACTGCCTGGGCAAAACCAAGGGGAGGACCCATCCCAACATTGACCCAGAGGTGGTACAGAGGCTACGAGATTTCTACAGGCCCTTCAACATGAAGTTCTACCAGATGACAGGTCATAATTTTGGTTGGGATTGATGTGAAAATCATAAAAGACAATTTTGTTAATTTGTTGAGAAGTTTTTTTCCCTCTGTAATTCAAAGGCAAGATGTGGAGATTTTGCTATATATATGTAAAATGTACAGAAATCTATTTTATAATAATTTATTTTTTATTTCTAAGCAATTAATTCACTAAGCTGCCTAACCATATTTGTATATAACATCTAGCCCACATGTCTTTAACATTCCTTATTTGAGTTTTGAATTCTCCTGCTCCTCCCTCATTGTCCCGTAAACTCTGTGGATTTATTGGTGTTTAATAATAATAATAATAATAATAATAATAATGTAGATAATCACAAATGACTGAAGTAGAAACTGGGGTGGAAAATGTAATTGCGCCATATTACGGGTACAGAGAAGTGGAGAACACTGAACCTTGTGCATCCTCATTATTGCATGATGCTTCACAACTTTACCTTCATCTTTTTCGAACCCTGTCGATCTGAGGTGTGATCCTTTTATAAGCTCTTTTACGGAACACACACATCTTCCATTAAAGTTTTTTACAATCCATTTTTTCCATACTGATATTGAGCTAAGCTACAGATCTTACATCCCTTTCCATTCAATAACAGGCAGACCAATAGGCCTAATTGATCCTCATTGTGTCACTCATGGTTAAAGCATACAGCTGCCCTCTCATTCTCAGTGCTCCTGCTGCCTGCTCTAATAAATGACCCATCCATCAAATGTTAAATCCCATCTCAGTCCACATAGTGGGGGCCTGTGGTAACATTATGCTAATCGGGTAAAGGTAACTGGCAGATCAATCGAGCCGCTGCTCTTTAACTTCATATTAGAAGCTTCGTTGGCTCAGAGCCAGGCTATCTAGTCAGTTCAAAGGTCACACAAAGTCTCAGTCAAATTTCCTTAAGAGGCATTTGATTTGTTGAGGAGAGCAGAGCAGGAGTACAGTGGGTCAATGTGAGCGAGCATTTAGTTTTTACAGTAAGATGGAAAATCTTTGCGTGAGTTAGCAGAGACATAGCTGTCAGAAATTGAGCATAAAGATAGAAAAGATGAACCACGACATGGCTTCACCTCACTGAAATAGCGCTTCTTCAAACAAAAGCCCATCAGGTCCCATCTTAGATCCCAGACTAAAGAGATCAAAGGAAGAGGAAAGGTTTTTGTGAAGCACTCTTAGCACACCAAAAACTGCCTCAGACAGGGTTTCAGTGTCTAACCACTTGAGTGTCATCAGGAAACCTCATGTGCCATCGTCCATGGCCTCTATACTTTATGCCTTATTCACCCTTGTCATTCTCACATGTCTTATCTCTCTTTACTTGCTGCCAAAAAACCTGTAATATCATGTTTCATACAGCTTGAGTCAGTATCTCAGCCTTTTACCCTGCATTGCTTCTTTGTTTTTGTCATTCTACTTGAATTCTTGATATGCAAGAGGGAGGAAAATGTGTAGTTATCATTCGTTGATGTGTTGCCCCATCTCTTTGCAACGGGTGGCATGCTGTTACTATATATATGTACACAGGGAGGTGGCCATGCTATGCTACTTTACACTGTGCTATGCTATGCTATGCATGCTCAATGTGGTGGCCATTATGAAAACACATCACATCATGGGAAAGGATTATTAGCATCCAGAAGAGGACTTCATGTGTTTAAGTATGGTCCACACTGAATGTACACAACCTATCCTCACACATCCCCCAAAGAATTTTTAAAGGTAAGCTTGTCACCCAGTTTTAGTCAAAAGTTAAATTCGATTGTGATTTTTTTCCTTTTAAAGTTAAGAAAATGTTGGGCCTTTTTAGCTAGCTTGGGCTGTCATTAAAGCTGAATTCTGCAATTTCTCTTAGTTTCCAGTTGAAACCAGATCCCTAGTTTAGCCTCAAACCAGTGGCTGGTAGCAGGGGAGATGGAGGGTTGTTTCACCGTATTTTTTTTTTTTTTTTTTTTTTTGGTTTTCTTTTGACAGAGCTGCTGCTTGAGTGATGAAGCTCCTGGTGAAATATTAAGCCTTCATCTCCCCTTTTCTCCTCTGTCCAATGTTTGATTGTAATAAAAAGCATTTAAGATGGCCTCTCTTCACAAGCTGTCACATTCTGGAGTAAAGTCTGATATTCTCCCTGTAATTGACTACATTGGAGTTCTAGTTCATGCAATTGAGGGGGTTTCTGAAACAAAAAAACTTGCACTCATGGCTTTACTCCATGTTGCTGCATTAGGTATGGTTGAGTTTTATTCAACCTGTTTTAAGATCTAAAATGTTAGAAATGTTTGTCTTACCCACATATAATATGTATCTAGAGTAGCAGGTCTGTATGTACAATAATGAAAAAGACATGTAAATCAAGTATTTTGTGGTATATACATCAAAGGAATTAATTTTACACAATGTAAAAGCAAAATGGAAAAGATGTTTCTAGATGATCAAATACTGAACATTCATAATATTTCTTTGTATGAAGAAATAAAGTATATATTTTACCAAAACCTTTGTGCCTGGATTTAATTGACTGTCTCATAAAGTTTTATTTACACTGCAAATTACACATGTTTTTGTCTCAAAACTGCATCTAAAGGTTATGACTTATGACTTTTACTTTCATGAAAGCTGTACTAGCAGAACGAGGGGTTAAGAAAAGACCTTAGTCACTTAGTTTTAGCACACTGAGCTGCTAAGGGATATACATTATTGCACCATCACCGCATCTTCCTTTGTTCATAGGGACAAAATTCACAGTTCACATATGTTCATTTTCATCCATTTCATTATTTATTATTGTATGTGTGCAGGCAAAAGACTAATCATTGCTAAAGGGTTGTTTGTCCCACTAACTAACTAACTAGTCAGAGAAAATATTTCTTTTACTCAGTTTTATTGGAATTGTTATTAAAATGTACATAAGTATTAGAGGCATTTTTTTCTTAAAGTTGATTTAATGTTGATTAAAAGTTCATTAAATGCTGAGAGCACCAAAAAAAATTTCTAGTGGAGAATGGATATCTGAAGCATGGTTAAATAAAACTCAAACTATCTGCATATCAACATAGGTTAATTGAGCAGGGGTTTTTTTGGACAACTGACCCTTTAGTTAGTTGGAGAAGAAGAAGAAGAAGAAGTAGTAGTTGTTGTAGTTGTAATTGTAGTTGTAGAAGCAGTAGCAGTAGCGTTTTACCAGCTAATTATGTGGCTTCAACATTAATTCGTGAACGAAATAACTGTTTTCACGCGTTGTTGCTGCTACGTGGAGTCTGAAAGGTTCTTCTGCTGGAGACATGTCAGCTGTGGTGCTACACAGGTGCACCTCCAACCGGAAGTCGTGGTTTTTCTGTCCACGATGGCACAACTTTGGGACCAGTACACTCGCCAACTCTACTGAAACACTGGGGACACCTGGGTCATTAAACCAAGGTAGGCTGAAGTTTCTTTGGTGCTCTTGTGCCCGCTGTGTGCAGACTTTGCTTTGGTATTAGCTGTGTATGAGATTCCTTTAGTGGTCAAGCATAATTTTTGGTTGTGGTATTTTAATGCTGTTGATTTTAAATATTGTTGAAATATGAATGCTCGTGTTCTAGTAAGTGAAACGGACTTAACTGGTTATGAAAATGGCCCTCTTAGTGGTTGCAAAAAAAATGCTGTGGCTAATTTTTTGTTTTCCTGTTCTGGCACTGTGATTATGGAAGGAAGGAGGCCTGTGTGGTTTCAGGTGACCTAGACCTGTGTGGGAGGTTTGATTGCTGGTAGTGGTGGGTCTGCTTGGTTATCGGAAATGCCCCCTCCCAATATTCACGCACTCACTCCCTGTAAATGCAGCCAGTGTTTCCTTATGGCTCATAGTGAGATACACCTCCAGGGTCGTTTATTTACAAGGCTCTGAAACACCTCTATGTATTAACAGGGTGCCCATTCACATTATCAGATGACCATGCAATGGGATATTGACATCCTCAGCAAATTGTGGCTTTTGGCAACTCATAATGGCTGTAGATTAAAAATGTGCAGAACAAAGGACTTGTGTTTGGTTGTCGGTTATGCCCCAGTTTTACACTTGATTGTAGCTAATATCAGTCACAGTTTGGTAAAACTTTTGTCCTGTTTGCTGTGGTTTTGATACAGTTTGGAATAAATAGGCAATTTATTATTCAGTGTTACCTAATTTTTTTTATACAGTTTTCTTAAACCTCCAACAAAACCAGTTAGGTAAAGTTTGGAAGTGATCAGAATAAGTTTTGCTTAAAAAATAAGAAAGCCTCGTCCAATTTGAAAATCAAATTTGAAACATGATATTGTCATTTTTAACATTCTGAAACCTGCAACAGTACAGCCATACCTGAGATATGTTTACTCTTTGAGCTCAGGTAGTGGGTACTCGAACTGATCTAGTTTTCTAAATTAAAACTGACTCTGTTTTCTCGTTGTGCTCTCAGGGGTATAGCTACAGTAGATGCTCTATATCTGACTGAAACATCCTGCTAGCTGTTTGTGTGTTTCTGTTAGGTATATAAATAAAACCAACAAAATATCCAAGCTGCAGCACACAGCTCAAGATGGGGCTTATTTCAATAAGGAAGAGTTGAAATATTTTTGTAATGTAACAGAGATACAACAGTTCTAATCCTAATTCACTTTACTGGGGCAAAGATGGGTGGATAAAAAAAAAAAATCTTTTAATGCAATTAAAGTTCCCACCCCAGTTTGTGTTGGCTAAACAAACCAAATAGTCCTTTCATGTTTTCCAACCCCCAAGGAAGAGGTGGGCTGTTATGGAACATGGCAGAATTCCCCACAGTATGCATGCTGTGATGTGGTGGCAAATAAGAACATGGGTTAAGGATTTCCTCCCTGTCAGCCATAGACGTTCTAAGGGAATAAAACATTAATATGTAGGAAATAGGGTGTTTACAGTATCTCTATTAAAAACAACCTGTGTTCAGAACTTTAATCACTTTGATGCTGAATTGTGTTAATATGGTTAATGTTACATATAAAGTTGCCTCAAAGAACATTCAATGGGAGAACTGCTGTTACCACTGTGTATATGCCAACATGCAAACCGTGTTTCCAGGCAGAAAGAATCAAGTTTCAGACAAGAATCAGACAGTGACAATGTTCAAACAAGATGTGTAGATGTGACTGAGACAATGCCAGTCAGATGCTGTGGGGGCAGGTGTAGCAGCGCTGCTTCTCCACAGAGCCACAGTGGAAAATGTATCGCATGAGGTAAACAGTGGCCCATATTACAGCACAATATGATACAGTGTAAACAGAGCTATCAGTAACCCTTGAAGCTGAGCAGCATGTGTTTGCCAAGCCCGGTCCCCATACAGGTAGTGACTTGCTTTTCACCAGAAATCATCGTTGATATTTACACATCTGGAGCCAGATAATTACTCAGCTGGAGCATTGAAAGACACACCGGGGGGAAGGACAAACAGGATGTAGTGTGAATGATGAAAAGGAATAATGAAAAAAAAGCCCTAGCTTGGCAGGTTGAAGTGCAGCATGATCTCTTGGCAAGCATCCAGATTGTTTTCTGACTCTAAGCCACCTTGTATTAACTCGCTACTAACCTGATTAACCTGTTCCTGGATCCATCAGGAGCAGATATAGGAATGATAGATTCCGGGCTGGCAGCCAGGCGAGCCATCTTGACCTAAATGGTTTGTGTAATTAACAGAGAAGCTCGGTGGAATGACAGGGGGTAATTGTAGCGTTTGCAGATGATGTCTTATTGTCATCGAGGGTGCCTCCTGGGCTGTTACGGGTACGGGCGGCTGCTGCTTTGGGATGGGAACAGAAACCTGGCAGCACTAGACACGCAAACCCCCAGTTGATTCTACCCATTCACCGCCTCCTTACTGATCCAAAACCCTTCTCCCCCACCTCTCCGATCCCTTGGCACCCCTGCTAGATCAAGCTGCTGTAAAGCAGTTGCATGATATCCAAACAGCCTTGTCACAATAGCTGGAAATATGGCAGAGGGGCTGCGGGGGGTGGGGCATTAAAAATGTAGCTCTCCTTTTAAAGCTCAACATGGAGCAGGTCTTCAAGAGGGAAATGGTGGCTTGGTGGATGACTTCACATGCAGCCTTGCACCTTGGCCTTTACTATTCCCTTGTTTACGCTGTACCATGTGCACCTTCAGTGGTATATGACCCTTGTAGAAAGAAATTCTTGATAAAATGATATAGTGCTATGTTATGTATTTGCAAAACTGTTCAAATAATTGTTTAATCTGTGTGGCCTTTGTAAAGATTTGACCTGTGGACATGACATGCTGTAAGGAGGTGCAGAGAGACTCAGAACAACAGGAAGTCGTGCAGATACATACTGAGATGACTAAACTGTCTGCACGAGAATTGTGTGTGGGTGTAAGGTCTGATTGTCTTGGCTTCAGATTATCAACATTTATCAACATTATATGAAATTCTAGGATTGACATTATAATCTGCATTAGCAAATATATCTACAAGTTTACTTTAGTATCATACAGTGGGTACAGAAAGTATTCAGACCCCCTTAAATTTTTCAGCTGTGTTCATGTGATATTTCAGTTTTTCTTTTTTAATAAATCTGCAAAAATGTCAAAAATTCTGTGTTTTTCTGTCAATATGGGGTGTTGTGTGTACATTAATGAGGAAAAAAATTAACTTAAATGATTTTAGCATATGGCTGCAATACAACAAAGAGTGAAAAATTTAAGGGTGCTCGGGGTGCTTCCTCTAAAACTGTCTACTGAAAGGTCAGGATGTGTGGTTCTGAGAATGTCACAGATCAAAATCTGCCTGGCGACAAGATCACCAAATGAGGGGTCAGAACGAGGTCAACAAACCAATCAAGGAACGAGGATGAAGGACAGCACGGATGACATCAGATCTACCATCCTGACTGTGTTATAAATTCTCTATGCAGGAGAAACTGGGGGATCCGACTTCCTGCAGCAGCTATG